ATATTTCTCCACCCACCCCTTCATGTAAACTGCTTATAACTTCCTTTGCCTTACTGCATGCAGCTTCAGTGAAACTTGGAATCGCGAAAGTTGCCCTGTGTTCGATCACTGATAGCACACTAGTCATTTGACTTGCCTGATGGTGATCAAACAAACCAAGATCTGCCTTGCACAGGTGAGATCGGTCTTTGCCTACTCAGCTGACCCTTGCAAAAAGCTTTGGTTGTTTTTAACAAACAAATGTTGGAGTGATTTTCATGCCATCATTAGAGTCATTTTGAGTCACTTTGAAACATTCTGGAAGGCCTACCACAAGTCTTACCGTATACTGGACCTGGAGGATATTACATGAATCAAAACAAGCCACACAGAGAAAAACAACCCACAGCCTCAATCCCGTGTGAAATTTTTAAAAGTTTTTAAAACCACAGAAGTTGAGAGATATAATAGTGATTATGACAGATGGAGAAAAATAGAGGGTGGCAGGAAAGAAGCGACTGGGCAATGTGAGATACCTTCAGTTGGATAGGTGGAATATTCCAGGGATCAGGGCACAATGGAACAGCACAGTCAACAATGAAACATATCTCAGGGCAGAAAAGCAGAGCATGAATACCACTCTCCACAAAGAAACGGCAAAGATTTAAAGTGATGGGTATGGGAATTAACCACCTCTGACCACTATTCAGTATGCATATACAGTATGAATGAAATGTGCAATTTAATAGAAATATTTTTATAGTTTCACATTTATGTTGCTCAACTTGTGCATAGTGTCAATGAAACACATCCCAATCAAATTTTTCAGAGCTATGAACTCCCAAATCAAAATCCCCACCTCTTCAACTGTAAAATAAATAGGGAAACTCAAAAGCTCTGCTGTGAGGTGGTTGACAGTAGGATCCAAGGCATCACAGCCAGTGCTGTCTTTACTGCGGATCTCTGAGCTTTGCTCTCGGGAGTCTCTCCTTGAAGGGGAGTGAATTTTGTGAAGATTGTTAGAGGGTGCACTTAGAATATAATGAAAAGGAATTAAGCTAACCTCTTTACCAATCTTTTTTATACCTGATTACATGGTAGAGTACTTGTCTAGTGCCAGGATCTTCCAGAAAAAGAAACACACATATTCCAGAGAAAGCAAGAGGTCATACCATGGGGATTAAAACTCCAGTCTTCACGTTTTATGTCTTCTACACTGGTTTTTATCTTATCTCATTAGGGAAATTCACACAGGAAGAACTAATTAGGCAAGAGAAATCTTCTAAATTCAAATAATGGAAGAAAACGTTATTTTGAGAATGTGAGGTGGGAGAGGAGCTCTTGAAAGATTCCTCGCATCCTAAAAATCCTCACATAGATCAATGTAGGAAAACCACATAGGTGTGACAAAACTTTGAAAACTGACTTGTGGCTTTTTTATTACACCCATGAAATTCTTGAAATGTCTGAGGTTTCTAGGAGCACACAGAGCATAGCAGGCAATTTATTAGTTCAGGTCAACTTTATATAGTCAGTAAATGAGCAAATCTGGGAATAATCGGGAGATACCACGATTTGATGGCCACTAGCTCTACACAGTGAGAGGGACCCCTGGTAGCCATGCTCTCTGAAAGTCAGCGTTTGTCCTCTTTCTACCAGGGTTTTCTGTGTGTGCTTCTGGGTAGGTTGCACCCTTCTGAGGCTCAAGCATCTCATTTGTAAAGTGCTCATAAAAGTAGCAATCTTACATATTTTTATGACGATGAAGTGTGTTAATAGTAGTTATATTTGCAATAATTCTTGCTCGGTAAACGTGGGCAATTTTGTGATTATTCTCTATAAAGGAGGTTCACTATGCCCACTCCTTCAACTCTTTTCAGGTCTTCAGAGTATTTCTGAAGATGCCTCAGACCCTGTGTCTTTCAGGATCTTTTGTGTATAGGGCACAACTTCTGAGAACTTTTCATAGAACTCACCCTGGCAGAGTGAGTATTCCTCTGCAGAGGGGAGGCCAGGTGGCAGCAGGGCATTTTCTGTAACTCAAAATGAAATTTGAATAAACTGTGTTGACTTATGATACTATGTAGCACATTTTTTTTGCATTTCCCCAGGTTTTATCTCATAGTGGTAATAATTGTTTTAATGGAGGAGAGAGCAGCTCTGTAGATATCTTGTGGAAATCCCACAGAGATCCACGACTGCTTTAGATGCTTAGGGAACATGGACTCAAGGGAAATTTGCACAAACATAAAACCTATAGCAACCTCCAGTAGTGTGAAATCTGTTCCACAGGTTGGTGTTTGGAATACAGTTTTTTTTGTTTTAAGGGGGTGGTTGATCTGAGAGATATTTTCTGAGAGTTAGGAACTTGTTTTCTGGTAGGTAAAATTTGTTACGGTTACAGTTAGTAGCATAAGGTGGGAAGTACTGATATCATTTTTAAATAATCCATACAATTTATTTTAAAACCACATTTTCTTTATCCAGTTGAGTTGATGGGCAATTGGGCTGTTTCCAAGTTTTAGAAATTACAAACTGTGCCCCTATGATCATGGGTGCACATATATTCAGTACTATTCAGCCATAAAGAATGATACTAGAGACATTTATAGATAAATGAATGTGCATTAAGGCCACCCTCTTACTTGAAATAAATAGGACACACATGTGTAAATGCCAAATAGTTTCCCTGGTGTGAGAAACTGAAAGTGTAAATAAGAATTGAAATGAGTAATAGATAATGTGAAATAGGAAGGAAAGTTCCAAAGGGTAAGAGAAGGTGGGAGGGTTAGGGAAAGAAGGGAAAGGAATAAAAATGAGAAAAGGAAAAAATGGAAACAATGTCTTTATAAATAAAGAGGGGTACAGGGGTTGAAGGATGGGGGAAAAATAAGAATCAAGATATGTTATGGAAAGGTACAGATCTCCAACGGTGAATGTTAGCATGTTGTATACCTAAAATGCACCAATAAAATTGAGTGAAAAACATAGCAATCCATGCATTATTTGAGCGAGGTGATGTGTTTGCTAAGAAATTCTGTGCTTTGAGCAACCTCTTAACAAAGCACACTTCCCCTTTGTGGTAAAGAAGAATCTCGGCGGGAAATGGGAGCCATTTAACATGCAGAGCCCCGTATCCGGGGTCAGCGGTTAGAGTGACAGGGCAAAGGGAGTGGACACGGGCGGGACACCGGTTCCCGTGGTCTTTCCTTGGACACAGATCTCACAGTGGCTCCGTCCATGCATCCCGGTGCAGTCTGTACGCAGATTCTTCTGATGGTCACTGAGAGGCTGCAGCTGGCCCTAGTAGGCTGAGTGACAGCTCAGAGAGGGACCAGGCATGGGAAACCACCCATCTCTGAAATCCGCCGATGAATGCAATGAACACCAGGCTGCGACAGTTTCCGGGTAAGACGATGGCTCCTCCAGGAGCCCGGCCTCCTGCCGCGGTGGCCTTGGGTTCCTGTGAGGGTCTGAGGGAGAGGCTGAAAGGTTTCTCACCCTCTGCAAGCACTCTCCGTGTGTCCAAGTCCGGAGTGTGTGTGCGTGTCCTTTATTTTAAAGTGCCCACCGTCCTTCCTACGGTAGCTCATAATCTGTATGCGCGCTTCTGAGAATCCAGGCCAGATTACAGACTCATTTCAGTAACTCTTTAGCACACGTAAGTACACAATGTTTAAGTGGGAAGTTGGTACCTGTGCATGACGCATCGTCTTCCCTGTGTTCATCCCCTCACCTCCCCTCACTGTCCTCCCCACCCACCGCTTGGTCCCCTTCCTTTTTCTGGTACAAGTTTGCAGTACATAATTTTACATTCTTGGATAGAAATATTTATGTTCATGGGTGTTTTCAGGAGTAAATACACAGTGTTACCTATGTATCTATCATATATTTGCAGGTATTATCTGGCTTACTGAATTTGAGTTGCAATTTTCATTTTTAAAGATTCATCTAGTGCCTTTTTTCTTACTTTATGAAAAAATAAAAATTTTATAACAACATAATAAGAACAGTTGATGCACAGTGTATCATTATCTCCAAAATAGTTATTCAGTGTATGAGGGATCAATAGTCAAATATGAATACAAAGCTTTCTTTTGAACCAACTAATAGAAACTAGTAGTATAAACAACTTATTCTGTTGTTGCAAAGTATTTTAATATATATGCTAATAAGTTCTGATTTGGATGACATTTCCATGTGAATAAAATCACTCAAAACTATGATTTTAGGAACTGTATGCTTTATCTCATATCTGTACTATAATTTTGAAAACTCTTGGCTCATCATATCATTTTTTAGCTGCAGTTTCATGAAGAATGATACACATTCCATGGGCATTTTTCTTAACGATTTCCTATGTGTATCTTTCGTTGGTCTTCATATCGATTCACAGTGGTATGTTGATTTCCAAATACATCCTCTTAAAGTTGAAGTGTCACAGTTACATAAAGACTGTAGTTGAGTATTGAAAAGATCATATTTTGTTAATTTTGTATGGAAAGTGGTAACATAAAGTATGAAATATATGTCCTCAACCTAAAATTACTAATTAAATATAAACAATTATAGGTTAATAATCTTAAGCCTAACTCATCACTTCACAGGAAAATTTGGAAAGCTTATCCTGCATTTTAAAAATAATTTCTGCAAACTTGAATATTGAGAGTATTGATTTAAAATACTGCTGTGCAATAAGAAAAGAATTTGTAGAGAAGTGAGGACTACTAAGTAGCAATTTTGAAAAATTGATAATCACCTGAAGTCTTACATGGTAAAGACATTGTGTGATTTCTAATTAAAACTGTGGATTTTACCCATCTCTACTATGCAATGCCTTCCCTTTTGTAAAATTCCAAATGAAAAGTGGCTAACTTCTTGGCAGAAAAAAAAAAAAATTCTTCCTAATTTTTCTTTTTTTTTTTTTTTTTTTTTTTTTTTTTTTTAGAAAAAGCTAAAACTTATTTTGGATTACATGAAGAATGACTTTTACTTTTTTGCTTCAGCCACAAAGTGGACACATGGGAGAAGCAAATTGCACCGTGGTCAGCGAGTTCATCCTCCTGGGCCTCTCTGACGTCCCTGAGATGAGACTCTTCCTCTCCCTGCTTTTCCTTCTCATCTATTCGGTCACCGTCTTGGCCAACCTGGGCATGACGGCACTGATTCAGGTCAGCCCCCGACTCCACACCCCCATGTACTTCTTCCTCAGCCACCTGTCCTTCGTAGATTTCTGCTACTCCTCAGTCATCGTGCCAAAGATGCTGGCCAGTGTCTTAAACAGCGACAAAACCATCTCCTTGCTGGCATGCAGAATACAATTCTTTTTGTTTTGCACCTGTGTGGTCAGTGAGGTCTTCTTACTGGCCGTGATGGCCTATGACCGCTTTGTGGCCATCTGTCACCCTCTACTGTACACAGTCATCATGTCGCGGAGGCTTCAGGTAGAGCTGGTTTTCGTCTGCTACCTCTATGCATCCCTGTGTGCGCTCATTCACCTGTGCTTAGCTGTTGAGGTCCAATCCTACAGGTCCAATGTGATCAACCACTTCTTCTGCGACCTGCCCCCTCTCCTGAGTCTTGCTTGTTCTGATGTCACCGTGAATGAGGTGCTGCTGTTCGTTGTGGCTACGTTAAATGAGTCCAGCACCATCATCATCATCTTCACCACCTACTCCTTCATTCTCATCACCATCCTGAGGATGCGCTCAGCAGAGGGAAGGCACAAAGCATTTTCCACCTGCACCTCCCACCTCACGGCCATCACTGTCTTCCATGGAACAATCCTCTCTATTTACTGCCGGCCAAGCTCAGGCAGCAGTGGCGATGCTGACAAAGTGGCCACCGTCTTCTACACTGTTGTGATCCCCATGCTGAATCCTCTCATCTATAGCCTGAGGAACAAGGATGTCAAAGAGGCTCTCAGGAGAGTCGTCAGCTCTAAAGTGGAGCACTAGAGAATGTAGACTCTTCGGGACTCGGAACTCTTGCATGTTGGTGGTGGACGAATGGATAGACAGACCACAGTGTCGGGGGTAGGGAGCAGAGTGAAGAGGTGAGCACTCATGTTTTTCAGACAGATTTATCTTTTTTTCTCTAGTTTAAAAGTGTAGGATGAAACATACTTGAAGGTCTCAGCCAATTACTTTTTTTTTTTTTGGTATCGGGGGGATGGAACTCAGGTCCTTGCACTTGCGAGGCAGGCCACCAAACCGCTGACCCCAGCCCTCAGCCAGTTTCTTTATAAAAATAAAATCTTTAATATTTAACTGTATATTGATAATGGCATTTAGAAATCTATAAATTTAGTTTGTTGTATAACCTTCCGGAGTTAAAGAATATACCAGAGTCCCATGATTTCAATTTCCAAGAGGGAAACTATGATTCTTTTAAGATAGAATATCTATAATTTCTTAATGCAGAACACAATGTTGACACATTGTGTGTGCACATAATGAGAATTTAGTCTGCATGCAGGTTTTGGGGTTTTATTTCCTTTATTCTTCATATTCAGTTTTTACTTTTTTTTGCTATTTTTCCTAGTATTCTGTGTTGCTTGAAGCTTGGATAATATGTCTTTTAGTAAAGAAAAAAATTATAACCCTTTTGCAAGTATTTTGACGTTACTGAATTGCAAAAGCTGACAACTTATATGAGAAATTTAATTCTTAGAATTTTGTCCATATCACTCACTCACATACATACATCTATATATCAAGAGATATAGTTGTATATCTGCATATATAATTTTAATTTTAGAACATTATTTTGGATAGATGCCTTGCTGAATTGTCTCTTCTCTCAGTTTGTCATTTTTTATCTGCATGTTAAGTTTGCAATCCATTGTAGATGAAACGCTTGCCGTCCTGTATCAGTACATTTCTAACTTCTGTTCCTGTTCTTTGAATGAATGTTTGATCTCAATGAAGCGTACATTTTTAGTGTCTTTTGCTATGTATCAGAGCCATGTGTCTTCACTTATTTCTGGTCATATGCAATATTAACATTTTCATTTTAACTCCTTTATGATTTTCTAAAATATATACATTTGTTTAAATAGAGCTTATGAACTTGTGACTATGAAATGTAAGAAAAGCATTGGCCTCTGCCCATAAAATCTAGGTTTTGTGTTATGATCTCAGTTTATTGAGTGTCCAAGATTTGCTTCTTTGGTTCTCAATTCCTCTTTGGAAAATCCACTCAGGCACCCCCACCACCCACACACGGTCTTCTAAAACAAGCACTGTCATTCATGAAAGTCATTATAAAAAGAGAAGATGGACACTATTTTTATGTCTATGTAATAATGAAGTAAAATGTGAAATTGAAATTCTGGAAAGAGTTGGATTTCTCATCATTTTCATACAAAGAGAAAAATGCTTAGGCTAGACATGGTGGTGCACGTCTTTACGTGTAGCCTCTGTTACTTGAGAGTCAGAATCAAGGGAATCTCACATTTCAGATCCATGGTAGTGTGGGCAATACAGTGAAGACCGTATTTGAAAAATAAATAAGTAAATAAATAAAAAAGGAATCTATTGCTTGAAATTGAATTTTTCCAAATAAGCAAAAATATGACACTGGAAATTTCATAAAACATTGCAACTTCTACTAATAGAAGTAAAAATGACCACCTCTTTAATAGAATTGAAGTCCAAAAATAAATGTAGCTCTAACTGTTTGACCTTATTATTCCTCTCAACACAAACATTGGTAAGGATACTCTTTCAAGAAAAGTGGTTAGCAGTGGGCCAGCCATGTGCAAAAGGGGTGATTTAAACCTTGAATTCATACCACGCCTGAGCAGCACATCAATGAAGGCATGGGCTGGATATAGCTTATTGGTAGAATGCTTGCCTAGCACGCACAGGGCCTTGGTTAGATCACCAGAGTTTCAGGGAAATTAATGTTAAGAAGACAGGTTTAAACTTAGGAGAAAGAACTCAAAAAATTACAAGTGGGCTTTTGTAAAAGTAGTTTTAAATGCTTCTACATGTATGCAAGAAATATAAATACAATTTAAATAAGAAGTGTAATATTTTAATGTGTATTATGTAAAGCAGGTTTGATCTAATAGGAATATATGTGAGATGGAAAGAGACAGAAATTCATGCCACGAATTTATCTTGCATGTACTGAAGAGTTAAAATAAATTGAAACAGCTCTAAAACTACCGTATCCCATGCTCACTCTCTTTTTCCTCCAGGATTTTATTCAGGTGAAAAATTCACCATCTATGGCTTGTCCAGAGCTTCTCTTTCCTTTCGTAAAATGTGAAAAACGATCTTTGAATGCAGAGTTAGAAAGTCTCTTGCCGCTTTTCATGAAGTCTCTGGGACATTCTCTTCTGTATTGGAGAATCTAAATAATAATTTCATACACATGCCTTTTGAACAAAAACACCTAGAGAAATCATGGTGTATCCCCAATGATACATGGAGACCCATCCAATCCTGGGACTGGGTTGGCATTTCAAGGTGTGAGGAGCACCCTAGAGCAGCTTATGGTGTGGTCTCAAGTGGTGCCTGCTGGCACTGGACATGGGTTTTGGAGATCCCCATCCTAGCATTGCTCTCAGTCCGCGCACTTCTCCATACTGATGCAGAGCAGGGAAACCAGCACATTTCCTCTTCCTGCATCCTCTCCTATCCTCTGATTTGTACACAAGGCATGGAAGCAAAAGAGCCTCTTGCCTGTCTATCAGATGTACAAATTCTTCCGTGAGTCTTAGAAAGAGTCTCACCATGGTGAATGTAGCAGTGTGTGCTGCTGTTAGAGTTGTCTGACTCCTACAGCCACTGACCTGCAATTTGAAGGAATTCTGAGGGCGATTTAACTAGGCAATTGTGGAAGCTACGGTATTTTGTAATATTGTTAGAAAGGGAATGTCCACGAGAGATATGCAGGCTAGTTCCAAATTGCAGTACGCAACACGGCCCATGTATTCTGTACCTGGATGGTGAGTTCCACAGTTGAACATATTGAAATCTGGAAGGAGGTATGCCTGCTTTTAGAAGATGGAGTCCCAAATTAGATGTTTTCCTTTACTTGGCTATGTAATTGCAAGGGTGCATGGGCACATTATGCGTTTTTAATACATGTGAACATGGTGTATTAGCCACATTGAGTAATTTGTGTATCCTTCACATCAAGTGTTTTTTATCATAAAACTGTTGAAAATTCTCTCTTCTCTCTTATAATGTGCAAAGAGTATTATTAACTGTGTGCACCCTATTCGATATTAGACAGCCAAATTAGGGTGATTGAAAAACAAATTACCTGAAATATTCTAGAGGGATTCATTATTTTTCAGTTTTCCATGGCACAGAATTCAGTTGAACTTTTCTCGATGCTTTTGATGTGACACCTGGAGTAGTTTTTATTTCCTATTTCCCAAGAGCTTGACCTACAGTATAAAGATTGTACTGTATGGAATTCACATCTTAGGACTCAAGGAAGGAATACATTTTCAGCTTTGTTCAATGAAAGTGGGTTCTGTGTGCTTGAAAATGGAAATGAATACATTTTCTTTATCTAAAGCCAAATTATATTGCAGGTATGTCTAACTCATATATTGTTTAGCAAAATTTAATAGAAATCCTGATCTTGTGCAGTTACTCTCAAAAATATGTTTGTCTCTTATTTGGAAGAGAGATGGTGAGAAATAAGAACCTTTTCCCCCGTAATGTAGATGAAATTTACAGACAGAAGACACTGGTAGTACCTCTCTCTCTCTGTCTCTCTCTCTCTCTGTCTCTCCCCCCCCGTCCGTCTCTCCCTCTCTACCCTTTCCACACTAATTTTTTTTATCAAACCTATAACTTATGATGAAAAATGAGCTCACGTTAGTCATCGCTTCATAACCCTGAGGGCTGCATTTTGAGCCTGCAAACTCTTCCCGTCATGTGAACGTCGTCTGCTTAACAAAGGAGAAGAATACACTTACGTTTGACTTGGATTTGCTATAGACAAGTTTCTTGTATTTTTAAAGAGGATTTTCATCTTCAACTCAAGAAAACATCCTATTTTATTTTTGTTATTTTGTTTGTTTGTTCTTAGTCCTGTAAAGATAAAACCATGATGTCAGGAGAAAAACTTTCTTTTTCTTTTCTTTTTTAAAAAATCTTTCTTTTAATGTTTTTCTTCTTTTTTTCCTCATTGAGTTTATTGGTACATTTTACGTATACAGTACAGTTACATTCATCATTGGATCTTGTACCTTTACATGACAGGTCTCGGTTCTTATTTTTTTGCCTTACCCCTTCCCTCCCTTCACCCCCTCTTCCCTTTCCTAGTAATAAAATCTTTATTTCCATTTTTCATTTTCTCATATTTTTTTCTTTTTCCTTTTTTCCTTTCCCCTACCCTTCCCACTTCTCCTACACCTTTAGCCCCTTTCTTCCCAATACACATTGTCAATTATACCATTAGGGGTGTGAAAAATTATAGCTGTAAATAAAGCTTTCCTTTTCTTTAAGTAGTTACGCATATGGAGGGAACCTCAGGCTGTGTTTCTGGTGCACATGGTCTTCACTCAGGCTTCCTTGCAGAGTGTTAATCAAGTCATGTGTCTTCTCTTCCTGCAGCACAGAAGGAGGGCAAGAGTTAAAGTTGTGAATTTTCATTTTGCTTTGTTCTGAGACAGGGTCTCACCACATAGTAGACCACTTTTGATCTTCCTCTCTAGGGAAGGTTGGCACAAACTCTCAGCACCCACTTCAACCTCCCATTTGTTGGGAGTAGTAATATGCACGCTGGTGCTCTGGGGTCTCTAATTTCTATCAGTTCTCTTCCTTAGAAGAAATGCCTAGGTAGTGTTCTCTATTTATGCACAGTACATAAATTTTCAATTGCTTTGGCTAATCTGAGGGGTGCTGGAAATACTGGAGGGGAACTGTACCATCGGGACACAGTTTATTTTCCTGGGTTATCAGACCTGTCTTTGGCAGATAGTAGA